AAGTGATTTTATCTTTAGCTGGTATCGGTTGGAAGAACATGTTTTTGGGATAGTCAAACCACACTGTTAAAATAGCTGTTCTAGGTCTGAATTTTTGTTTATTGAAGAGTTTTACAAATTCTTTTTCTTCTTCTGGTAGAAACGGTCTTCCACTTTCCGCTCTCGGATATTCACTGTCTAAATCCGACATGGCGGAAGCGTATAAACCGTTAGCATCAAATGCCATTAGTTTAGTACATTCTATTTTTTTAAGTCTCGAATGAACCTCCGTTTTGTCTTTTGTGCTTGCGCTATATTCTTTGAATAAATCAATTATGTTATTACTTTCACTTTGTGAAATATATTCCTTTAATACGTTACAAATTTCATCCATTTTGTTCGTTTCAAATGATTTTCTATTTGCCGAAACTCTTCCTCCTTTAATAGATCGTCTGATAAAATTTCTTATAAAAGGATTTGTGTGCGAATAAACTTTTTCTATATTTTCTTTTTCGGTATGTTTCGCAACCATTCTAGTAGTTTCATACCATTCTTCTTCCACCATTTCTTTATCGTAATGATATAAATAATACCAACCCTTTAAAGATAAAGATGGAGCCGTTAGATTATTGGACATATTCTGGTTTACAACTTTTTTCGTCACTTTCCCAAACAGAGAGTGTCTCTCTTGGCGTAAGGTTCCCATTCGTGTCTCAATTCCTCCCAGTTGTCTCGCGTGTACTTAGCGATATCTACGTCGGCAATCTTTCTCAAATTCGCGGGAAGATTGGAAGAATTTCCCCATGCAGCCAAACTAGAGGATTCGTGTTGATAGGAACACGTGAAATTAATATGTTGTAAATAATTACCCTTTATTTCTTTCTGTCTTTTCCATTTTTTCTGTAAATCTTCATCGGTGTATGGATTAGATAAAGGAAAAGATAGAATTCCTCTGGGTGTTTTTAAAGGGCAATGCGTTAGTTTTTTTGCATTTTTAAGCACGATCCAGTTGTCGAATCCACTGCCGTTATGAGAAATTAATATTAATCTCTTTCTATCATATTGACCTAAATATTTCAACATTTGATCGATGCAATCTGTACCTACAAATATTTCTACTACATTCATTAGTTTATCATAAAATTCTTCTGGAACTGATGACTTTAAATCTGGAAAGAGATTATTTATTCTGTTTAACATTTTCCTTAGTTTTTCTAAATTAATTAAAGTATTAAAGGCATAAGGAATTGCTCTTCGCGTGTCTTTTTCTGAATACGTTTCGCAATCCCAAGCGAATAACGCATTATCACTCATACTCGAAAGCACGTTTAGTTTGAGGGGTGAAACCTGTGTTACTGCGTTGTCGTCTCTACACGTTTTCCACACCTGTTCGTAATTGTCTTCTATTTCTTGAATTCCCAAACTTTTTTGGCTTCTTCTACTCAAACAGAAATGCGAGTTGTGTAAGTACAAAACCCAATCTAATTCATCGTGAACGTCTCTGGGGTGAAAATGTCTGTTTTTGGGATTATAAATTTGAAACGAAGTGTTGAATTTCTTGTTGAATTCATTCATTCTAGCACAAGTCATCACTCCTTTTCTATTTGCTTTTGAAAACCCGTTGATGTATTCTTGAAATTTACACGTTAAATCTTTGTTCAAAACACGATTGACGCATTTGATAAAACAGTGACCATCTGTAGGTATGTAACAATTTTCGCCTTCGTATTCATTGATCTTTTTTAGTAGATCAGTTCCTCCTCTACCAACTCTCGATCTTTTTATTTCTTGGAAATTGTCTTTCATTAAAATTATTTTTCCTGTAAAATACCAATCGGAAGCATCGGATTTTTTGTCCATATTTGAAAAGATATTGTGAAAGGTTTTGGCATTGAAACCGAGGAGTGACATGTATTGTCTGTGATTCCCTTCCTCGACTATCTCTCCATCTATTTTAATTTGTCCTTTGAATGTTTTAAATTTATCAGAGATAGCCTTGATAACATCGGAAAATAGGGCGTTTTCTATCAATGTTTCATCAAGTTCGATTTTATTCATATTTTTTTAAGTATATATTTTTGATTATTTCTTTATTTTGACCGCTGATATTTCTGTATGGAATTTGTCCAAAATTTCATTGAATTCTTGTAATTCTTCAACTGTTATGTTCTTGTCTTCTCTCGATCTTTCGAAAAAGATGTACAATTGATTAAGATACATATTCAAGATATCCGTTTCCTTTTATAATAAGCTTTCTTTTTACTCGTGAAACCTAAAGTGATGAGACCGCAAAAAGTCGTTTGAACGGCTGTTAATGCAGCCAATACGGTTGGGACGATGTCCGGAAGCATTAATCCACCAGTCACGGCCGTTGCCACCGTTACTCCTACCGTTAGAACTGTGCTCGCTGTTTTGAAAAAAGAATCGATTCTACTCCATGTTTTCCTGCATGAATTGTACTGTCTCAACTTTATTTTCAACTCTTCTTGTTTGTCTATCATGTATTGTTGTCTGCTTTCGAGTTCCATTTTTTAAGTCGTTAAATTAAGTGAATTTCCGATAAATGGAACCACGGAATATCGTATAGAGCCTCCTTGTTTGACCTAGCATTATTATATTTGCGGGTATTAAAAGTAAAAACATTTACGCGTACTAACGACATTTCTTTTTTCATATGGTCCTCTTTAAGATGATAGGAATATTTTACTTTTTCTTTTTCGATGTTTATCTTGGCTCTAGAAATAAAACCACCACCTTCAAGGATGGAGTCGGAACCTTCGGCAAACGATAAATGTACTATAAACTCTCTTTCTTGTTGACTTTTATGAACATCGATCGAGGTGTATTTTCCATCGTAAACAAAATACAGTTTTGCGTATTCAAAGTCTGTTGTTCGTAAAAACTCGTGACTGCTCGATTCTATTGGTCCGGGTACGTATACGGGCATTATAAATGGAATTTTGACAATGTTGGTTAATGGTGGATTTTCCGTTTCCAATATCATATCCAAATCTTTGATTCCAATGATATCCTTATCATTTTCTACTTCCATTTTAGAGGTGTCTACATATTTACCATTTTTCGTTTCAATTTCCTGATCCCTTATATTTTTTACTGTATTATTATAGTGATTGTTGTCTGTGGTTTGGGTAATTTATAATACAATTTGGGGGAGTTTGTTATAATACAGTTTGGGGAGTCTGTTATAATACATTTTAACAGTTTGGGGAGTCTGTTATAATACATTTTAGCAGTTGTGTCTTTTCGGATATGATGCATTAAAAAAGCTGCGCATGCGCAGAAGTGAAATGCGTCATATCCGAAAAGACATATACTACTCAGACCACCTGTGTCTAAGGTAGTTATCAAGAAGGTGCAGGTCAGACCACCCTGTGTCTAAAGTAGTTATCGAGAAGGTGCAGGTCAGACCTCCCTGTGTCTAAAGTAGTTATCAAGAAGGTGCAGGTCAGACCACCCTGTGTCTAAAGTAGTTATCGAGAAGGTGCAGGTCAGACCGCCCTGTGTCTAAAGTAGTTATCGAGAAGGTGCAGGTCAGACAGCCTGTGTCTAAAGTAGTTATCGAGAAGGTGCAGGTCAGACAGCCTGTGTCTAAAGTAGTTATCGAGAAGGTGTAGGTCAGACCGCCCTGTGTCTAAAGTAGTTATCGAGAAGGTGCAGGTCAGACCACCCTGTGTCTTAAGTAGTTATCAAGAAGATGCAGGTCAGACCGCCATGTGTCTAAAGTACTTATCAAGAAGGTGCAGATAAATTTAACCACGTTGTCATCTATTCAATAAATATTTGTTGACTACAAAAACATCACTGTCTTCTGGTTCTATAAGAATTGAAACCACTGTGTCATAATAAAGAGAAATACCACATAATGTATACAAGTTGATAGTCAGATTGTATGATAAGTCTGGGCAAGGCAGATCTTCCTTCACACTATATGTGAATAAGCATATTTTGCGATTAGTAAGGTCATAAAACACTAAGATTTAGTGGAATTGCAGGAACCACAGACGTCTGATTGAAAATTGGAATGTAGCAAATTGATACCATCACACATGCTGATGCCCGAAACACATAAAATTTTTATAAAGCCCCTTTTGCAATCCCTTAAAATCCAACATGAATGCATCTTCACAATGGTCAAGATATTAAAAAAATATAATAATTTGTAATTGGCACTTGACATGACATGCTTATGTGACTATTTTTCTACCACTGTCACGTTCAAATAACATTATTTTTAACCAATCAAGGCGAGTCATGTATCACCCGTTTCTTGCTAACAATGATGAATTGTAGAGAAAAAGAAAACCTACAAAATGTCTAAAAACCACTCAACTCAGGGTTTGCGATTGGTTAGCATACATGTCAGAATTGCACAGTGATTAAAAAAATAAACTTTGTCAGATCTTGGATCTGAAGACACGAAACAACATTGCCACAATAATGTCCCACAGTGTCTTTTTCAAAAACTCCATTAGCAGTGGCGTTTCTAGGAAACATAAGTTGAGGGGCGGAGCAGGGGGCATAAAATTTTCCAGGGGGAGGGCAATTCTTTCAGTATGTAAAATAGTGTGTGTGGAGGGGGGGAGGGGCAAACCTGGGCCAGCCTTTTTTCCGTAGAAACGCCACTGTTCTTTAAAGGGTGTCCAGTGAGGTGTCCGGTACGGAATAATCGATACAAACGAAAATAGAAGAAGTGAACACACGAGGTGCGGACGGTGTCCAGTGCGGTGTCCAGTGCGGGTGTCCAGTGCGGTGTCCAGTGCGGTGCGGACACAATTCGTTTCTTCCATTTTCTCTGTATCGATTATGCTGTACCGGACACCGTATCTCGTCTATTCATACCTTAACACAAAGTTTGTATTATTTTGATTTTGAAGATGTTTCTTGTCTATAAATATATATACCTAAAGAACTTACGATTCTCACCGTAAAGCGAAACCCGAAACCCGAAACACAAACATTAGCCATACATTGGTTGCCCCTTATGAAGGTTTCACATGAGTAAATATTTCATAGACATGTAATAATCTATTATCATTAACCAGCAGACAGCGTACGTTACACAGTTTGCGGTAAATAATCTAATTTTCAATTAAAGATTAATGTTATATTTCTCTGCAATATATAGACCCGTGCGTCAGCCAACGTGACAATTTTCGGTTGGCTTAGGGATTGTATCAGTTGGCGTATCACTGACTGAGACTGACCTCATAACTTCCATAACCTCACAGCCTTCTCATACAAATTGCTAAATAAAGGAATCTATTGACTAAAAAGATCAATGCTGAATTTCAACATTTCAATTCAGATCAAGTAAAATCAACTACAAATTCAAATTTGGAATGGTGGTTGTCATATCTACCAGAGGAGGCTTTTCATACTGAAGCGATACCTGACGAGCGCTGGCGAAAGTAAAACGGGTGGCTACCTGTGGCAGCAATAGCTGGCGGTTAGCTGATAGCTGTCTGGCAATATAGATATTGTTTTTAAAAATATCCGAACATATAGACGTTTGTTCATATTAGTCATCCGATCTGCATCGCCAAAAGTAGCCCGGCTAATTTGGCACCCGTAATGGTTCAGCTTTGTAAAAATACAGAAAACTTGAGCAACACTTGGGTTTTGTTATGGTGTGAAAATTCTCAAAACCTAGCTATCCAAAAAAAAGTCGGAGCCGATATTGCATTAGTATATGCCGTACGAGGAACGGGTTACACACAACGGAGAAAACCGGGCTAAATCAGTCTTTTTGAAACGTATTTCACTCGAAAAATGTATCCAACGATTAGCCATGAGTGGATATAAAATCATACTCCACATATAGAGTTAGTGCAATGTGATCCATGGGCCAAATGTTCTTTCGCAATTGTCTGTATGCTCGGGGTGAATGACACCAATTTCAGTCACTCAGTTATCTTCATCAAACCACGTGAGAATATCACTATCCATGCTGAACCCGCACTCCACTAAATACATATTCTCCACAGGCAATAATTCCTCCCCGTGGTCTTTCAATTTCTCCCTATGGTTTTTCATTTCCTCCCCTGTTGAGAAGCACTAGCTAGTCGTTCGACTGTGCTTGAATGTATCGCCAATATGTTGTTTGGATTTTGGATTTCGTTTTTCAGTTCGGATCGTTAGTCCTTGGTTTATTTATTTAAATCTGAGAATGTCATAATTTCACAGCCTAATAATATAGGCTATTTTTATCACTCTCTCAAATTTCATGTCCAAACCACAAGGAAAAACTTACATATACCCCTTTTCAAACGGTAAATCGATAGTCTTCTTGTGGCCAACCTACACAGACTTTTATAAGGAGAAAACGTACCTGTATATTTCCAAACCGTAATCCATGTTTCAAAGTCGAATTACAACCCGAGTAGAGATTGTGCGCATGCAATCTATCCCCTTCAAATACACACTCCAAATATCCATGAATATTAATCGAAATTAGAAGCATAACCAGAAACTTTATTAATCAGCTTACCACGCCACCAACTTTTTAATTACAATTCTTGCTACAAGAACTCCGCGACAAACCAGTAGAGTCATAGCTAAGATCGGCACGGAGGTAAGTTATGCTTTTTATCAGTGGCTCAACAAGTAGGGTGGGGGCCCATGGAAATTTTCTTTAGCGTTAATGCTATTTGATCGTAATTGTATACTGTGGACCGGTCCCTTTGGTAGTCAAGTCACAACTTCTTATAATGCTACTTCATGCCGTAAAGTCTTTGAATGGCATTTAGCGATTATGAGTACGATATATGGACACAGCTTTATGGAACTACAATCAGTTTAACCAAGCTGTTACGAACTTCGTTGTTATACCTTGTCTGCAATAGTCACCTTTTTTGAATCACGGAATTCAATGATTTGAATGGATCGCCGTGTTTCATAATCAAGGTATAAACAAATTTCGTAAAAGCTTAATCTTGTGAAGATGTGGTATATGAATAGTGACTATTGCAGTCAAAGTATAAGACGAATTTAATTTCGTAATAGTTTGACATTGTGAAGATGATTATAACTATGCCTTGAAAGTATAGAATTGAAGTATATTGGCAGTAAATATCAACTATTCACTATCTGTAACGGTGTTATTGATTTTAATTAATCATATCGGAATTTTATTAAAAGATTTGTTTATCAAGTTAAACAACAAAACCTCCCACTCCTTGTATCACACTTAATTACATGATAAGAATATTTTATACACATCCTTTGATCTTTAGAGTAGGTTAATATCTAATACACCTACACTTTTCTGGTGTTTGGGCCACTCGAAAAAGAGAAGGTGTATCAGCCCATACGCCTCGAAAACCATGTATACTACATCAGTGGCGGAGCCCTCCCACCCCCCACACCCTCGAAAGCAATCTCATAAATAGGTTCGGGCAATCTCAGACATCTCGAGTAACAACATTTTTTTAGGTTTTGTTTTAAAATTTCTAATATAATTTTTACATTTGATTCAGATTCGATCATCGTACACAATGGTTAATACCATCCTCTTCATCATCGACGTGTTGATGATATGGGCAGCCGTACCATCAACTCATGCAGACATCAAAACATGTCGAAAATCGTATCCACCAGGAACAACAGTCCCAAATGACGAACTGATGAAGGCTTTATATCTGGCGGACCCTAATTTTGAAACCGGTTACCTGTACACTATTGATTTTGAACAAAAAGTGAAAGCTCGGTTGGTCCACAGCACTTTAAGCTACAACTCTTGGTTAGCAAGAGAACACGACGCTCTGAAAGAAATGACTAATCTTTGGTCCTACTTTAACCATATCGTTTTGTCGGACCTTCATGAGCTATACGCCCATTACACATTCATCAAAGTTGGAGCCCACAAACCTAGAGGAATCGTCAACTTTGACACTATCTCTGATTTATTCAGAGAAGCATGCTCGACATGGGACACTGTTAAAGAGACTTGGCCTTATAGCTGCTTGGAGTCCAACTTCTTCTGTCACATGCAAGCTGCTATTGACCAAATGAAACAGATCGTCGTGGAAACCTATTGGAAAAATTGGGACCAGACGATCTTTCAAAAGATATCGAGTCTTGGTGTGGATTCGCCCTGGCGATCCAACGTAATCGACACCCTTTTTAACCCAGTTATTTTAAAGTTTATTCCAGAAAGGGAACAGGAGAACGTTTTCTATCATTCAAAACTGGTGTGGCATTATCTTCCATTAATAAATGAAAAGTCATTTTTCCGTAGGTGGTTCACTTGGGCCAATATTGGATTCCAAGCAGTCGAGGATCAAGTCACCAGAAAGTGTTCTCAAAAGTCAGGGCAACCGGTCGCTGTAAAATATTACTGCAAAGCTAAAGACTTCGCGGCAAAACTCCGAACCTGCTCTGGACTAACGGACCCCACTCCATGTATGTACTACAGCGCCGTTCAAGACTATTTTGTACGGGGAGGATTTGGTGAATACGTTGAACTGAGAGTCATAAATGACACTATTGATATCACTCGTACGGTCTTGGCAGAATTCAAGGATAGAGTCGTAGCTAATGATCGCAATGGTCTCAACTGGCTATACAATAAATACAATCCTTATATTACCGTAGATGATTCTATGTGTCATACAGATTGGCCAAAGGCATTCGACTGCACCAACAACATCGGATGTGATGAATCGATGTTTGACTGTAATGGTGGATATACGTGTAGAATCAACATGATGTACAGATTCGACTGTGTGCTGAAGTTCGTCCTGAAACAGACAAAGCAACTTGTGGACGCCTCATCACAAGGAAACTGGGGGAGCTCTGGGGTTGTCAAAGCGAAGAATGACCTAATGTTGTGGCTATCGTATTTACCAATGACTCGTTTCACAAGTTTAACTGACAACGAAATTAACAGTGTCATCATAACTACCCAGGCCAAAGTCAAAGAATACGTTACCAGCTACGACACACAAGGACTGAAGACATTCGTCTCAAATTTACCCTCAATGAGCTTTGTTCCTCAGTGGGCAAAGGATGCCGCTTGTCAACAAGTATCCATACCCAAAGAGTACGCCGTGTTCTGCCACCTGGAACCTCTTCTAAATAGCATCTTTCTCTTTATCAACGCTTTTGAAAATAGCAAGACGTCGACGACGAAGATTCTGAACCCATCAGCGGACTATGGTACAGTTCTCGGTCAGCTTCAACTACAAAGAGTAGGCAGTCTCATCAACTTACAGACTCAAGAAATCTCCAACCAATTCAGAGACGAAGTACAACACAACTTTCAAGAGCTGTCCGGCTATTTTTCATCTCTGGCAGCATACGATAAGACAAAGGCCGAAGCAGATATTGCGTATATCACTGGTCAACTAAGGACATTCAAAGACAAAATTTCGTCTGTTTCTAGAAAAGTTGCAAAATCATACCAGGTAGTCCTCTGTGTTGCTATCGGAATCAATGTTGTCGAGCTGGTTCAAAAAACTGTTGAAGTAGGAATAGCCATGGCACAAGTTGCTAATCCGTTAAGTACAATTTTGGGTGGCTCAAGCATCCTTGATCTTGCAGATAAACTCAATGGTTTAGCCCAAGCAGGTGTGACGACAGCAGTAATTGTCCGGTTGAACGAGCATGATTTCAAAGATCTCACTAACCAAGCTATTACTCTCGGAACAAAATTTGCCAATAACGAAGGCCAGTTAAAGAATGCCAAGACCTTTCTCGATAAAATGAAAAACGGAGAAAACGCCGTTGAAACTGCAAACAATTTTTTCTCGGAAAATATGAAGATTACACCCCAAAAGTATTGTTGGCTGATATTACTCGGTTTGGAGCGAAATGGGAGACGGTCGCTGAAACACTTTGTGAAGCTGCCTTTTCCGCTGAGACAGGGACAGCCGCATTGGGAGAAATTGGATTAGCCAGTACGGGTGACTGTGTTAATATTGGAAATCAAATTGAAGAATTGATAACCTATTATGAAGAACTTTACGAAAACCAATTTGATTTTATGGACTCCATGTCTGATGCTGCCCGAGCTTACCTCGCTTACCAGAAAGCCAGCGATCTAAAATCTGCATACACTAATAAAAACAAATTGACTCAAGAGTTCCTGAAACACACCGCAGTTAATGCGTATACAATATCAACACTGAACGTTTGGGAAATAGTTACTGAATATTGCGTTGTCCTAACGTACACCAGAGGCGGAGAGGTGCCTGATAAATGTGAGACAGCTTTGAGGTCTCCGTCCCACCACGCCGTAGCACAAGTCATGGGTTACCGACCAGACCCTCTCTGTCATACCAACAATGAAATTACCGCCTACCGAGACATTCCCACGACGCCAACTGGTGCTAACGATCAAGCTTACATAGATCTGAACGCTCTTTACGCTAGAGAAACCGTTTCATTCAAGATACCTAACTTCCAATGGTTAAAAAACAATGGATGGTTCGGCCAATATGACCCCGAGAAGGCCGTATACATTAAACGCTTTGAGATATTCCTTCCTCCAATGTCTGGACAAAATAATCACCTCATAGAAGTTGAAGCTCAACCTGGTATGGCGAACTACCTTCGATATGGAGGAACTAAGTATCTACTTCCGGTCTCTAGGTACACAGCTCGATATACCGAGAATGCTTATAACTGCTATAGTACTAAAATTACCAACCCTTATGCTTTGTGTAAAGATGATGATTTGGTTCAGCTTTGTATCACTTCCAATGGTTTTGTGGATAGAAAAATACAACCTTCAATATATAACGAATGGAAGATAACAGTTAATTCTTTACCAGCTGGTCAAACCGCTCCTCAACCAAAAACCAACTTTAAAATTCAGGCTGGAATCACCATGTGTGTAGTTAACTTGTCTTCCTCGGCCAAAAAACGTGAAATACCAACTTTAAGCAGTATCTTGACAAGAAGAGAATTAAACAGGACCAGACGAGCTGAACATCACTGCTGTGCTTCAAACCAATACTGGACGGGCTCGCAATGTTCTTCTTGTCCCTCCGGTTCTCGCCAGAAACTACATGGTGTTTATTGTCAGTAGAATAATCAATAGAAATCCTGACCAAAACAAATTTCTTCAGTATATAATACTATTCTTCACTAATAAAACTATTCTGCATTGAATTTCTTTAATCTAGTTATAGTGGCATAGCCAGGGTTTCATTGACTTGTGGGCGCTTCCCTCACAAATCGGTCACACCGGCAACCCAATCCCACATCCTCACGGGGCGCAAACACCTCAGGTTGAGAACTGTGGAATTGTACGAAGTTTGTACTAGTAGTGCAGCATCCAGCAGCTGTTAGGCACATGAACACGTATCTATTGTGGGATCATATAGAGTATGATAGAGAATACAAAAAACTGGACATCTCCGGGAAACCACCGCTTCGTTTGTCCCCCGGGGATTCTGATATAAACAAAAAAGGCATTCCCCTGGAAAAAATGTGGGATGCCGACCAATGAGAAAGTAGAATATTAATTTTTCATGCCCCGAAGGAGTGGGGGTGGCCAAAAAATTATTGCCTTAATACGCCAATGCTGGAGTATTACGTCCTGGGATAATCCAGAAGTTTGCAATGAGGCAAATTTGGCAATTCTTTTACGCGCAAAGCAAAACATCAAATGGTCCAAAAACATGACACCAACTTGGTTTCTACTAAATGATAATTTTGACTATTTCGTCCAAGCTGTTAATCAACATGCCACACATACAACCGGTATCGAATCGTCTCCATTATTTAGATATATGGAGTTTTATATTCTATGTTTTTGCACTTGTTTTGAGGACGGGGGGTGCGATGCAGTGTGTTATGGGGCATACCTTTAATCACACGGAGGAAGCCTCGACGAAAAGAAAGGATTCCACGTAGGCTAAATGTGCTCAGGATAAGACGTTATATGATTGGTGATACTAAACCTTATCTTCTCACGGCGTTTGTAAATGCAACCATGTTATTGGATTGTATGCTAGCAAATACAGACAATCGGAGCATCGACAGAAACACTTTACAGTAATAAGCCCATCTTGTATAAATATATATCTAAACATCATTTAGAGTCCAAAGTTGCACTAGATATTTTTAATTTCTTAAATATCTTATGAGTTAAGATATATAGAACTATGCTCAGTAAAACCACAATCTAATATTTATTCTTTACTCGCCCAAGTTATCATGTCTGAAAACAGTGCATAAGTGCAGTCGGTTGTTTTTTTTACATCGTATCCATGCCTCGTTGATGATTCACAATACTCTGCTAGTCCAAAGGACACATGACCTCACAGAGGTACTATTTAGCCCCGTGGGCCAGTCAGCGTGACAATTTTCAGCCAGCCGAAGTGTTGTATCTGCTGGCGACACCTAAGCCTTTTGTGGCTGTGGCTGGCTTGACATAACACCAGCTGGCTAGCCAAAAATACCTTTCGTAAAGTGCCACTAATATCAGATGGTGAATGATTATCTCTGACTAAGACTGACCGGTTCCATAACCAATAATCACAGTCTTCTCATGCAAATTGCTAAATTGGATACAAAGGAGATTATAAACTAAAAGACCAACATTTTAATCCAGATCAAGTAAAAAACAACTTCAAGACAAGTGGAAAGTTTTTCTTAAATGAGATTCAAAATTCTAGAATTACAGACAGCAATATTAATTTCCAAATACTGAACTTGCTTTCATCATATATGTCAATTCTTCAAACCAAAATTCAACGAGTTTCGAGACTTGGATGCGCAGTATGAAAAGTAACTAAATTAGGTTTTAAGAAATACAATTTTAGAGTCTTTAGCTGAGTATATCTTGATCTTCCAATATCTGGACTACGATTTAACTTCACTAACCAGTCAACAGCAAAGAATTACAAGTTATGGTAATACTTGATGTTGTCATGAATGAAGAAGATCATGTTCATAATCAGAGCAACAAGTGAGCTTCGTTTGACATTCATAATTAAATTAAAGGAATTCAGTGTTTCAGAATTTGGAATGGTTGTTGTCATATCACACCAGAGGAGGGCTTTTCATGTAGAATGGTTTACCTGGCGAGTGCAGGCGGAAGTAACACGGTCCGGCTGGCTGGCTTAAAAAGCATCCGGCGGCTCACTGATCCAGTACTATTCATATGTTGTCGCTGGAGCCGAGGTGGCTCAATGAGTTAGCCTGAAGGTCCCGGTTTCAATTCCGGCATAGATGAAGATAATACCTGCGGATTTTTCAACCCGATTTCCCCCTGTTAGTGATGAAGAGGGTCCCGTGTGCTACAGGCTGTGTACGTTAATGATCCCTCGACAGTCGGAAATCGAAAACGAGCAGGCTAATGCCGCCGCTGTCCTGGCAAATGTTCCCTCATTGTACCCTGAATGGCGTTACCGTACATACGCCAGGGTACATTAGCCCGAGTTCTGGACAATGGGAGAGAACTCGAATTAAACTACGAACTACCGCTCATCAAGTTTATCAATGAATGTCAATATTTCCAAATAGACATGCTCTTATGTGGAGTTGCGATATCTGATCGCAGAGTGATATCGGGTCAGCTCTCTGGAAGGGTGAGCATTATCCGGCTATCGCTATAAAATTGTATCTAATTTAAATTGTATTAATAGTATGTGAAGCTCTATGCTTACGATACATTTTAACTGCTGGAGCTGTTTAGAAACGGATTTGTATCCGAACCGTCGTCAATTTACCGTAAAGCATCTTGATTTACAAAACATTTTATATCCAGTTAATACAGAACCATTGATACGTTGCTTATAGAATGTCAGGCTACGTCTCTGTCATATTCACTATTTCAAGCTACTACCAACTTTATACCTTGACTTGCAGGATTTTAAAAGTGGGTTAACTGGACTTTAGGACTATGTTTGCTTAAAAAGAGGTTGGATTTGGTTGAATTTGAGGCACATTCTATCTACATCATCATCATCATCATCATCATCAATGTAATCCTGGATAATGGTCATATTGATATTGATCTAAAGAAATAACTCTTCTCCAAAAAAGTGGAATACATCGAATCCATCTGTTGGCAACATATCGATTGGGAGACTGGATGTTGGATGTCCAACGTTCCGTAAACCAACGATACGGGAATGAGGTTGAAACTTGTATTGTGTTTTTCATTTTGCTGCATACACAATAAACATATCGCAGTTTATTATAAGTGAGTTACCATTATCATGTTTAGGATAGGATACAATATTTATAGTAGTATTAAGTCTGAGCGACTCTAGTCTATGAAGTGGTCCATGATTTAACCTATATGTACCTATAAATTTGATCAAGTCCTTATATTGGGTTTCTTTTTATTTACAGTCAGTACCTTTGGTGTTCTATGTTGGTCAAATTGGCCATAGCACTGGGTGGCGTCTGTTTTTGGGTCGTTTCTTGTGGGTATAATGCAGTAGACAAATTTTTTCTGGTATTGGCTATTGAAAACTCTGTGATATTTGACAAAGGAAATGAATTTTGTGGTATCAATTATATTAATTTTGTGGTGTATGGCGGGCCAAATGCAGCAGGCATCGTCTATGGATGAACAATGTTTCTCCCAGCTTGATGTATGAATTGGCCTGAAGTACACTGTGCGTTGTGTCTAATACCAAGTAATTTATATCTTATCTAGTATATTCTTTATTCCGTTTTTTGTTCATTTTTGGATCCCCGGGGGACAAGCGAAGCGGGGGGTCCCTGGAGACGTCCAGATCTTTATAATATGCTCTTTCAGTCGCTATATCAAGGGTTTTCAATATTTTTGTGGGATCATCGATCGATTGTATAACCCCCTACCCCCTATAAATCCTTACCATTTCATGATCTTCTCTTAGGTGTTCCCTTACAAACTCTTTCACGTCGGACAATATAGCCTAAATGAATTTAGTCTTGCTAGTCTAGCTAGTCTACAGAGCATCTCACAGCCCCACAACTTATATTCGTTTCGTTGAGACAATATTAAGTTTTGTACCATGTGATGATCTGCAAACTCGCCTCATTACTGCATAAGAAAGTCGCAAAACATTAAAATGAATGACAAAAATTCAATGCAGAATAGTTTTAATAGTGAAGAATAGTATTATATACTGAAGAAATTTGTTTTGGTCAGGATTTCTATTGATTATTCTACTGACAATAAACACCATGTAGTTTCTGGCGAGAACCGGAGGGACAAGAAGAACACCGTGAGCCCGTCCAGTATTGGTTTGAAGCACAGCAGTGATGTTCAGCTCGTCTGGTCCTGTTTAATTCTCTTCTTGTCAAGATACTGCTTAAAGTTGGTATTTCACGTTTTTTGGCCGAGGAAGACAAGTTAACTACACACATGGTGATTCCAGCCTGGATTTTGAAGTTGGTTTTTGGTTGAGGAGCGGTTTGACCAGCTGGTAAAGAATTAACTGTTATCTTCCATTCGTTATATATTGAAGGTTGTATTTTTCTATCCACAAAACCATTGGAAGTGATACACAGCTGAACCAAATCATCATCTTTACACAAAGCATAAGGGTTGGTAATTTTAGTACTATAGCAGTTATAAGCATTCTCGGTATATCGAGCTGTGTACCCAGAGACCGGAAGTAGATACTTAGTTCCTCCATATCGAAGGTAGTTCGCCATACCAGGTTGAGCTTCAACTTCTATGAGGTGATTATTTTGTCCAGACATTGGAGGAAGGAATATCTCAAAGCGTTTAATGTATACGGCCTTCTCGGGGTCATATTGGCCGAACCATCCATTGTTTTTTAACCATTGGAAGTTAGGTATCTTGAATGAAACGGTTTCTCTAGCGTAAAGAGCGTTCAGATCTATGTAAGCTTGATCGTTAGCACCAGTTGGCGTCGTGGGAATGTCTCGGTAGGCGGTAATTTCATTGTTGGTATGGCAGAGAGAGTCTGGTCGGTAACTCATGACTTGTGCTACGGCGTGGTGGGACGGGGACTTCAAAGCTGTCTCACATTTATCAGGCACCTCTCCGCCACTGGTATATGTTAGAGCATCGCAGTATTCAGTGACCACCTCCCAAACATTCAGTGTTGATACCATAAATGCATTAACAGCGGTCTGTTTCAGGAAAGCTTGGTTTAAACTTGTTTGACTGGTATAGGCAGATTTTAGATCGTTGGCTTTCTGGTAAGCGAGGTAAGCTCGGGCAGCATCAGACATAGAGTCCATAAAATCAAATTGGTATTCGTAAAGTTCTTCATAGTAGGTTATCAATTCTTCAATTTGATTTCCAATATTAACACAGTCACCTGTACTGGCTAATCCAATTTCTCCCAATGCGGCTAACGCTGTTTCGGACGAAAAGGCGGCTTCACAAAGTTCCTCAGAGACCGTCTCCCATTTTGCCCCATACGAAGTAATATCAGCTAACAAGACTTTAGGCGTGTAATCGTTGTATTTTCCTAGAAAATCGTTTGCTGTTCCTACAGCGTCTTCCCCTTTTTTCATTTTCTCAATAAAAGTTCTAGCATCCTTCAACTGGTTTTCATTATCGGCAAAATTGGTTCCTAGAGTAACTGCTTTGATAGTTAAATCTTTGAACTCTTTGTTGCTCAATCGGGCAATTACTGCTGTCGTCACTCCTGTTTGGGCTAAACTATTAATTGTGTCCAGCAGATCAAGGATGCTTGAGCCACCTAATACCGTACTCATCGGATTAGCAACTTGTGCCACGGCTACTCCTACTTCATAGTATTTCTGAACCAACTCAGCTGCATTGGTACTGATTGCAAACACAAGGATTGTAGAAAACCTTTTTTCAACTGACTTAGAAACAGAAGAAATTTTGTCCTTGAACAACGTCAGTCGACCATCGATATAGGCAATATCTGCATCGGCCTTGGTCTTATCGTAGTTCGCCAGGGATGAAAAATAACTGGACAGCTCTTGAAAGTTTTGTTGGACTTCGGATCTGAATTGGTTGGAGATTTCTTGTGTCTGTAAATTGATGAGACTGGCTGTCCTATCAAGTTGGAGCTGACCGAGAAGAGATTGATAGTCTACAGTTGGGTTCAGAACCTTACTCGTCGATGTCTTGCTATTTTCAAAGGCGTCGATGAAGAGGAACACACTATTAAGCAAAGGATCCAGGTTGCAGAAAATTGTATACTCCGAAGGTACGGATGCTTGCTGACAAGCGGCATCCTTTGCCCACTGAGGAACAAAGCTCATTGAGGGTAAATTCGAAACGAATGTCTTCAGTCCTTGTGTGTTGTAGCTGGTAACGTATTCGTTGACTTTGGACTGGATAGTTATGATGACACTGTTAATTTCGTTGCCTGCTAAACTTGTGAAACGAGCCATTGGTAAATACGATAGCCACAACATTAGGTCATTCTTCGCTTTGACGACCCCAGAGCTCCCCCAGTTTCCTCGTGATGAGGCGTCCACAAGTTGCTTTGTCTGTTTCAGGACGAACTTCAGCACACAGTCGAATCTGTACATCATGTTGATTCTACACGTATATCCACCATTACAGTCAAATCTCGAGTCATCACATCCGATGTTGTTGGTGCAGTCGAATGCTTTTGGCCAATCTATATGACACATAGAATCATCTACGGTAATATAAGGATTGTATGTGTTGTATAGCGAGTTGAGACCATTGCGATCATTAGCTACGACTTTATCCTTGAATTTCGTCAAAACCGTTTGAGTTGTTTCAATAATAGAATCGATGAGGTCCAGTTCTTCGTTTTCACCAAATCGTCCTCGTACAAAATAGTCTTGGACGGCGTTGTCGAACACGCATGGAGTGACGTCCGATAGACCAGAGCAGGTTCGGATTTTTGCGGTGAAGTCCTTAGCTTTGCAGTAATATTTAACAGCGACCGGTTGCCCTGACTGTTCTGAGCACTTTCTCTTGATGTGGTCCTCAACTTGTCCAAATCCCACGGTGTTCCAATTGCGGATCCACTGGTCGAACAAAGACTTTCCGCGCATTAGCTTTTGAAGAGATTCCCACATGAGTCGTGAATGGTAGAAGACGTTGTTCTGTGATGATTCGGTAATAAACTTCAAAATATCTTGGTGAAAAAATGTGTCAACTGCATTGGATCGCGTGGTTAAATCCACCCCAAGATTTGACATTGAGTTTATACTTGATAAGGGCTTGATGGACACTTGTTGTACAAATTGTCCGTTCTTTTGTTCCCAGAAAGTTTCCACGACGATCCTTTCCATTTTACCAAGACCGTACTTCATGTAACAGAAAAAGTTGGAATCCAAGCAGCTATAAGGCCAAGTCTCTTTAACAGTGTCCCAGCTCGAGCATGCTTCTCTGAATAAATCAGAGATAGTGGCAAAGTTGACGATTCCTCTGGGTTTGTTTCCACCTTGATCGACAACTTTGTAATGCGCGTATAGCTCAAACATGTCCGACACGACGATATGGTTAAGGTAAGACCATAGGTAGTTCATTTCTTTTCGGCCATCATGTTCTCTTGATAACCAGGAATTATAGCTTAAAGAATCATCGACCAAAAATGCGCTCACGTGGTCGCCGGAGACAGTCAGGCTCAAGTAACCGGTTTCAGCATTAGGGTCTGCCAGATAGAAAGCGTTCATCAGCTCATCACTCGGGACGGTTGTACCAGGCGGAAACGACTTCAAACACGAGTCAGCATGCGTTGACGGTAGGGCTGCCCATATCATCAACACGCCGATGATGAAGAGGTTGGTAGTAACCATTGTACGATAATCTGAAATAGAAAATATAATAATATAATAACAAGCATGTACACATATTTCTTATTTAGCGGGTATTGTAACTTTTGTGATCAGTTCCCTCCCTTGAACTGTCAACATTATATAGATAATATTTACATCAGTTCCCTCCCTTGACAACAATAGGCGTTTATATTGAATCAACACGCTTTGTCGACCGATTATCAAAACGTGGTACAGGTCAAACCCCCTTAATAATTGACCATTGCGTATCATCAAGAGGTGTTGTATCGAGATGATTTGGTATCGGGGTGATTTGTTATCGAGATGTTTACTTGCCGATAAGCAGATTATTGAACAGTTAAATCTGCTAATGGAACTCATTTTTAATAAATGCTTTAAGAAAATTCCAAACGCTGGTAATAATGATATTTTGATCTTTATTCCTATAATCTTAGAACGAGTTTTACTTGTTGTCAATGTTGCCCACCATCTTGAATCTCAAACAAATCGTACCAAAGAGATTTGAGCCAGGATTTGGTAGAAATGGATAAGTGGCTGAAATTAATGTCTATTGTTGGAGGTGTTTGATTTGTTTTAATACGATTTGCTTAAATAAAATGCCTATTATATGAATAATATTTTCATCAGTTACCTCCCTTGAACTACAAAATTTAATCAGTCTTGTCTCTGTTTAGCTTTTGCCCCCAAAAATACGTAGTGAAAGAATTGTCCCTTCTTGAAAGCTTTGTGGTCCTATAGTCGCCACCTCGCCGCCACAGGGTTAATTAAAAACAGAGTGTGCTAATTTTTAAGTAAGCAGCTGAAACTAGTTATGATTTTTGGCCTCATAATAAATCGATGTTTACAATATAACGTTTATTTTGCTAAAATCCATAGGACGTGCAGCATTTTTCTAACAGCTTCCAAAAGTAACAAACCTTAAAAGTTTACATAAACTTTTAAATAGTGTTCGTGTTCACAAATATTAACGGCACAATCTTTCAGGTTAGTTACAAAACACATACACCTTCATTTTGTTTTATAGCTTAAATTAATTTGAGCACCTAACTTATTAAAGATACGTAAAGAGACAGATGTGTCATTTTAGGAGATTGATTTTAGTCTTGAAAATATGTATCTAATAGTCTTCAGAAGTACTAGAAAGTACGAAAATTGCTTAATTCCTTCGAAAATATCTCAAAATATATATACAAAATTTCGTTTCTGAGACTATAGTGACTAAGGTACGAGTGGTAAAAAACATGGCACATACCCCGCTTTAAAGAATCAGAATCAGAATGTTTTAAAAGAGCTGTCAGTAAATTAAACTCATAATACAATGATTACTCCCTACATTGACGAATGAATTAAAGGGGAGAGTCTGTTATTTTAAGAAGGTTTTGAAAGTTGTCAAAAATGAAAATAATAGACCCAAATATGTCTCCTAGCTTATCTGAAAGTTTTAACCGAAAGTATATTGCTGTTGGTAGTTCGATAGCCAACACTGTAAATTGAAATTTACAAGTATCAACCCTTTGAAATCGCTCTGTTTTTTTTTTTTTTTTTTGTTTAGTGTTGGAAAACTTGTACTGATTTAAGCAAAATAACCGAAAATGTACGGAAATGACTCTAACTAGTTCTGAGGGTTCAGCCAGAATATCGAGTCGTTAACGTAAAATATCGAGCCATTAACGTTAAACATCGAGCCATTAACATTTAATATCGAACCCTTAATGTTTAACATCGAGCCATTAACGTTTAATATCGAGCCCTTAACATTAAATATCGAGCCTTTAACGTTTAACATCGAGCCATTAACGTTTAATATCGAGCCATTAACATTAAATATCGAGCCGTTAAGGTTAAATATTGAGCCGTTAATGTTAAATATCGAGCCGTTAACGTTAAACATCGAGCAGTTAACGTTAAATATCGAGCCATTAACGTTTAATATCGAGCCATTAACGTTTAATATCAAGCCGTTAACGTTAAACATCGAGCAGTTAACGTTAAATATCGAGCCATTAACGTTAAATATCGAGCCATTAACGTTAAATATCGAGCCATTAACGTTTAATATCGAGCCGTTAACGTTAAACATCAAGCCGTTAACGCATGACAAAAAAAACTGCTTGCTTAACAAATAGTATAATATTTTTTTGTATTAACTCTTTTAAAATAAAATCAGTTTGATCAAATGTATAAATAGGAGAAAAAAGTAGTTGAGAATTTTTTCACTTATAATTTGCAATGCTTTTGATTATGGATAAAGAAAAAAAGTCAAAATCGCTCTTCTGCTCTCACCTTTTAATATAATAAGGCAAATTCTCCAAGACATCTAAGATGAACAAAAATACGGATATGATGCCAGTATAAATATGAGAAATAGTACCAAAAGCATTTTCACCGTGATAAGCTTCGGCTTATACCTTGACTCCAATAGCCGCCTGTCTTGTATCACGGAATATAGCGATTTGGTTCGATTATACTTCAGCCAAGAGACATTTTGTCAAGGCCTCTGATTGGCTTTATTTGCTAGCGTACAATCCGACCAAATCGCTGCATTAACAAACTTCAGTAATACAAAAAAGGTGGCTATTGCAGTCAAGGTATAAGAGGAAGTTCGTAATAGCTTGACATTGTGAAGATGGTTCACCTAATGCGTTCACGGTTTCGTTTCTAATTTCGGAACACCTGGTATAATAAGTTACTAGAACTAATAAGAAGTATAACTTACATATTTTACTGCTGGTCTGAGCTCTACAGAGAGCTAGGATGATTTGATTGTTATGTCACTGAGCTTTTATAGCTTACATTTTAATTAAAACGATAATGAAGTAATCAAACTACTGGTCATGCCTCTGATCTAGAATGAGATTTTAGGAAGATTCCGCTTAATATTCATGAATATGCTTTTTTCACGTTTCGTTTACACGAACTAACTGTTCTCAACAACCGTTGTTTTTGATTTGCACATAATATTGCGTAACTTTTGGACACAGTATATGGTTGTCTTCTCAATGTGTTTAGGACCTGGCCTTATAATTTCGACAGTTATTATTATGTAGGTTTGGATCGCCTTCAATGTGTTTGAAAAGCATTATGCCCTCTATCTTGGAGAGTCGTTGGTAGTAGCAGAATCACCGTGTTTCTCACACTGAGTTTCTCACACTGAGTTTCTCACACCGAGTTTCTCACACTGAGTTTCTCACACTGAGTTTCTCACACTGAGTTTCTCACACCGAGTTGTGAGTTTCACACACTGAGTTTCTCACACAGAGTTTCTCACACTGAGTTTCTCACACTGAGTTTTCACTGAGTTTCTTCCACCGAGTAATGAGTTTCTCACACCGAGTTTCTCCCACCGAGTTTCAAACTGAGTTTCTCACACTGAGTTTCTCACACTGAGTTTCTCACTGAGTTTCTCACACTGAGATTCTCACACTGAGTTTCTCACTGAGTTTCTTCCACCGAGTTTCTCACACTGAGTTTCTAACTGAGTTTCTCACTGAGTTTCTCACACTGAGTTTCTCCCACCGAGTTGTGAGTTTCTCACACTGAGTTTCTCACACCGAGTTTCTGACACTGAGTTTCTCACACTGAGTTTTCACCGAGTTTCTTCTACCGAGTAGTGAGTTTCTCACACCGAGTTTCTCACACTGAGTTTCTCACACTGAGTTTCTCACACTGAGTTTTCACTGAGTTTCTTCTACCGAGTAGTGAGTTTCTCACACTGAGTTTCTCACACCGAGTTTCTCACACTGAGTTTCTCACACTGAGTTTTCACTGAGTTTCTTCTACCGAGTAGTGAGTTTCTCACACCGAGTTTCTCACACTGAGTTTCTCACACTGAGTTTCTCACACTGAGTTTTCACTGAGTTTCTTCTACCGAGTAGTGAGTTTCTCACACTGAGTTTCTCCCACTGAGTTTCTCCCACTGAGTTTCTCACACTGAGTTTCTCACACTGAGTTTCTCACAATGAGTTTCTCACACTGAGTTTCTCACAATGAGTTTCTCACACTGAGTTTCTCACAATGAGTTTCTCACAATGAGTTTCTCACAATGAGTTTCTCACACCGAGTTTCTCACACTGAGTTTCTCACACTGAGTTTCTCACACTGAGTTTCTCACACTGAGTTTCTCACTGAGTTTCTTCCACTGAGTTTCTCACACTGAGTTTCTCACACTGAGTTTCTCACACTGAGTTTCTCACACTAGGTTTCTTCCACTGAGTTTCTCACACTGAGTTTCTCACACTGAGTTTCTCACACTGAGTTTCTCACACTGAGTTTCTCACCGAGTTTCTTCCACTGAGTTTCTCACACTGAGTTTCTCACACTGAGTTTCTCACAATGAGTTTCTCACACCGAGTTTCTCACGCTGAGTTTCTCAATGAGTTTCTCACACTGAGTTTCTCACACTGAGTTTCTCACACTGAGTTTCTTCCACCGAGTTTCTCACACTGAGTTTCTTCCACCGAGTTTCTCACACTTAGTTTCTTACTCTGAGTTTCTCACACAGAGTTGCTCACACTGAGTTTCTCACACTGAGTTTCTCAGTTTCCCCCACCCCCCCCACTTTCAGTTTTTTCATCATTTTACCTAGTGAAAGAATGGCCTGTTCCGCCCCCACCCCCTCTCTCTCTCTGTACAATTTTGTGGACCCTGCTCGGTACCCTCTTAACAGTATCCCAAATCAAATTATTGTTTTGATTAACTAACTATTATATAAGAATGTTGTTGACAGCTAACTGAGGTAACATCTGACCAGGTACACAAGCACGCTGCCACGGCGTGATACAAGTTAAAGAGAGATCAGGACCATAGTAGATCTATGGGTAAGCGTGCATTAAGCAATAATTACCGTTTGAATAGAAACCTTCTTTTTCCTGGAGGTGTTGATTTTTTTTCCGTTTTCTCCTTGTTATTTAGACTATGATTTATAGTTGAGATAGGTGAATGTCTGTTTTCTCCTTGTTATTTGGACTATGATTTATAGTTGAGATAGGTGAATGTCTGTTTTCTCCTTGTTATTTAGACTATGACTTATAGTTGAGATAGGTGAATGTCGGTTTTCTCCTTGTTTTTTGGACTATGAGTTACAGTTGAGATAGGTGAATGTCTGTTTTCTCCTTGTTATTTAGACTATGATTTACAGTTGAGATAGGTGAATGTCGGTTTTCTCCTTGTTTTTTGGACTATGATTTACAGTTGAGATAGGTGAATGTCTGTTTTCTCCTTGTTATTTGGACTATGATTTATAGTTGAGATAGGTGAATGTCTGTTTTCTCCTTGTTATTTAGACTATGATTTATGGTTGAGATAGGTGAATGTCGGTTTTCTCCTTGTTATTTGGACTATGATTTACAGTTGAGATAGGTGAATGTCGGTTTTCTCCTTGTTATTTGGACTATGATTTATAGTTGAGATAGGTGAAAGTCTGTTTTCTCCTTGTTATTTGGACTATGATTTACAGTTGAGATAGGTGAATGTCGGTTTTTCCTTGTTATTTGGACTATGACTTATAGTTGAGATAGGTGAATGTCGGTTTTCTCCTTGTTATTGGACTATGATTTATGGTTGAGATAGGTGAATGTCTGTTTTCTCCTTGTTATTTGGACTATGATTTATAGTTGAGATAGGTGAATGTCTGTTTTCTCCTTGTTATTTGGACTATGATTTATAGTTGAGATAGGTGAATGTCTGTTTTCTCCTTGTTATTTAGACTATGATTTATAGTTGAGATAGGTGAATGTCTGTTTTCTACTTGTTATTTAGACTATGACTTATGGTTGAGATAGGTGAATGTCGGTTTTCTCCTTGTTATTTGGACTATGATTTACAGTTGAGATAGGTGAATGTCGGTTTTCTCCTTGTTATTTGGACTATGATTTATAGTTGAGATAGGTGAATGTCTGTTTTCTCCTTGTTATTTGGACTATGATTTACAGTTGAGATAGGTGAATGTCGGTTTTCTCCTTGTTATTTGGACTATGATTTATAGTTGAGATAGGTGAATGTCTGTTTTCTCCTTGTTATTTGGACTATGATTTACAGTTGAGATAGGTGAATGTCGGTTTTCTCCTTGTTATTTGGACTATGATTTATAGTTGAGATAGGTGAATGTCTGTTTTCTCCTTGTTATTTAGACTATGATTTATGGTTGAGATAGGTGAATGTCTGTTTTCTCCTTGTTATTTGGACTATGATTTATAGTTGAGATAGGTGAATGTCGGTTTTTTCCTTGTTATTTGTACTATGACTTATGGTTGAGATAGGTGAATGTCGGTTTTTTCCTTGTTATTTGTACTATGACTTATGGTTGAGATAGGTGAATGTCGGTTTTTTGATTGTTATTTGTACTATGACTTATAGTTGAGATAGGTGAATGTCTGTTTTCTCCTTGTTATTTGTACTATGACTTATGGTTGAGATAGGTGATGTCGGTTTTCTCCTTATTATTTGTACTGTGACATATGGTTGAAATAGGTGAATGTCGGTTTTTTCCTTGTTATTTGGACTTTGACTTATGGTCGTTTTTTCCTTATAATACGAACGTGGATTTAAATATCAGATGTTCTCAGTTAATATTAGTGTTGGCATTGCTACTTGGTTTAATTAATGCAGATTTTTCCTTTGGTGAGGACTTTGACTGTGAATGTGCGTTGGATATATATATATATATTTGGTATTTGAGATATGTCAAATGGAATTAAAGATTGCCTTTAACATAGGTAAATATCCGTTCGCTCCGTGAGTGCTTTATTATTTGGACCATGGATTGCGATCCAACGACCTACAGTGCTATCGCTCTGTAACAGATTCATCTTACGGAAAATGCCGAGGATTGTCGAATAAGATTGCAATTAATTCAAAAGCAAATCGTCAAGATCACTATCACGGGTCAGATATAAAACTATTTAGTGTAACAAACCCAAACCGTCCCACAGTAAATATTGTGCTGATATTAGTATCGTTAAATATAAGGATCACAGATCTCAGACAGGATTTCATATAGTGTCCGTTTCTTGTGGGATAGCAGAACCTAATGTCATAAGAACAGGATTGTCGAAGAAAACTTCAATGGAGATGAAGAATATCATCAAACAAAAGAATCGAAATTGTTATCTTATTTTGATTATATTGAGTGGGGCCTAGACCGAAACATCTGTCTCTATTCCAGCCTCAGATAGCTATTTGGACAGATGTCATCTGGTGTAGAGACAGAAATAATAAGCCCTGTTAAATGGGAACATTCCGCGGGTGTGGGTTTCTTAAACCTATTTAGATACCTTGGATCTGCAAAACCCAGGTATATTAATTGGAAAGATGAGTATTTTTATAGTCCATTCATACCATTTTCTCCCTACACCATTTATGTCATATCTCCGGTTCCATCAGTTTTTTGGCGAAACGTATCTTGCATCGGTCATATAAAAGTTCACTTCAAAGATCACAGGGTCACGTGATACTAACAAAACGAAAGTTACGGTGATGCCCAACACTAATATACAATCATCTTTGGAGGTGTGGCAAATCCCCATTTAATGGTGTCTTTTTCTTCTGACTCTACTCCAGCTGACATCTGTCAAAATATCTATCAGAGGCTGGAATAGAGGCGATGTTTCGGACTAAGTTGGGCCCATAGAAAATTAGACTCTGTCATAGTATAATTTATTATTATTATCATTATTTCTATTCAACTTTGAGTGTCTTGGTTGAAAATATTTAAATATGAAACACCTTAAACACATCATATTTACAATTACTGTTGGTTTATTAAGATACATCATGATTAGAATTTGAAGATTTCTAGTCTTTGTATGTATATCAGGGTTTCTTTAAGTTTCTTGTTGCATCATTTAGTTGGCTCTATGCAAAAACCTATTGGATTGAATGACGCCACAGTCTTGAAATGCTTGAAAAATCAGAATGCCGCTAATACGGAAGCCAGTTAGAAGGACTCACAGTAACAAGCGACCGGATGATGAATACTATTTACTATAGAATTTGATAATTGCGGAACAGGAAACCGGAGCACCGGATTAACGGTAACTTTTACATAGTAAATATTCAGTTCCCAGTAAAAAGAGTGCGGATATCGGGGTTTCCCGATTATCGGCAACCAGATAAACGCAGCTCCACTGTATATAGAAGCTAGTATCTCAAACACACATGCAATGAGCAGACACACAAACCTGAATACACTTTTATAAAAAGTAAGAAATTCTAGTGTAATTTTCATCATCATAAACAGTCAGTTGAATGATTGTGTAAAGTTTCTGATTGGGTATCAAGAATTTCTTTTGAATTTTGTGAACTCAAGATTTCAGCAGAGGCTTTGAGAAGGTTTTCTGTACCTTGTAAAACAGGATCATGTTCATGATGTGTATTATAGTCCACTAGAGTAGCAGGGCAGGTCACGAGAGTCTGTTGTCCATTCTGGGACGAAGCCACAAGAACTTGTGCCGTGACCACTTCATCTCGTGATACAGGGTAACCATGTTCGTTCAGCTGTACACCTTGTGCTTCTATAATCGTGACTGGTATGGTTGCTCCGTTCTCAGTGATAACCTGAGCACCAGTGCCACCTGGGATGAAAGTTGTTTGTATCGTTGGTGCGCTACCGTCACTCGCCTCGGCTAAATGTACAACGTAATGATCAATCAAATCACCCTGTCCTATATCATGTTCGTACATAGCAGACGGCGGTTTGTGGGTGTCAAGTACAACGGTGTTACCCTCAAACATGTTGTTACTAGACGTCGTTAGCACTCTATTTACAGTTGACGTCATTTCTAAACTTGATTTAATTGCAGCTGATATCTGAATATCAATTTCTTTCGAACTGGTCGTTTCTTTAATTATTGTATTGGTGTCATCTTTCCCCCCGTCTTCCTCAATATCTGTGTTTGGTTTCACTGGTTTCGGTCTTGTGGTTGATCGTGTACCGTATGGTTTAATCGCTGGATTTGACGATTCTGTAGACGGCACAGGATCTGGAACTTTCTTCTTCGGTCTTCCAACTTTCTTACGATTTTTAGCACGGAAAAGTTGATTCGACTCCATTCCAACTTTAGGTGGGGTGCATTTATGTTCAGAAAATAATTTGGGACGGAAAAATCCCTTGCCACATTTCTCACACTTGTATCTGTAATCAGCCTTGTGTCCGCGTTCGTGTTCCACCAGGTGGGGTTTACGACTAAAACCCTTATTACAAACAGAACATTTATAAGGTTTGATACCACTGTGAGATATAATATGAGCCTTGAGCTTGTCTGGTCGACTGAACTCTTTTGTACAACCTGAAAATAAACAGGAACTTATTGAAGGAAGCAGGATGTTGCCACAGAAAGAAAGGGCCATGAACTATTTGAGAATGCTAACAATCCAGGTTAACGTGATCTTTTATCAGCCAGTCCTTGTTCAAAAAATTTTACAAGGGAGGGAACCTACATCGAAAAATCTACTTAAGTTTACTCTACTTAGATCTTTCCTGGAATATCTATTACCATCTACAGACTGTTCAATGAAAATAACGCGGAAAGCCAAAGACATGGGAAATCAATGAAGGAGGCTAAATATTGCCACAGGAAGAATGAAAGAACTATGAACCATTGAGAAGGATAGCTAGATTATCAGGTACTGATGCAAAAAACAGAAATAACTGAGTTCCAGTGCTCAAAGGCATAAAATCAATTGACAAGTTAATATCTGCTGGTGCCCCAGATCTCTTGACAATGTCAAGAATAACTTGAGGCATTCATTACAAGGGGAACCTACTCTGAAAAGTAGTTCCATGATTCAATGAACAGAGAAGAAACATACCAGTAAGGGTTTTAAATGGACATCGATATTTTTTAACACTATCATGTATTAACAGATGACGTTTCAGTTTATCTTTCCGATTAAACGAGTTATTACAGATATGACAACTGAATGGTTTCTCTCCAGTATGAATTAATAGATGCATCTTTAAATAATGTTCTGTTTTAAATTTCTTCCAACATCCATTACACTGAAACTGACCTGTGGTAGAAAAAAACAATTTCAACTTTGATACAAAATACATCTGATAATTTGGGCTCAACAGATAGAAATTCTATTTCACTTGTGTTTTTAGATTTATAGAAAGACCATTTACTATGATATGCATTCTGGACAAAAAGAAGGACAGGAGTTGTAATGTGTATCAGGGACACTGACTTGTACCATTTCAATTTTTAATCAGACGTCTGTGGTTCCTGCAATTCCACCCAAACTAGGCATTTCATGATGTAGCTATTGCACTGCTCGGACATCAATAATGATTAATCATTTCTATTATAACAGGAAGTACAGACGTCTGACAGAAAATGATTATAATTGAGGCAATGAATGGCCCAGATACACACGTATAAAAACTAAGAAAAACACTTTACAATTTCTTCCAGGGAGACAAACTGATAGAAATAAAACAACTAACATACCTTCAGTACCGTGTGTAGGTAGATGTCGACGTAAATATCGTTCACAAGTAAAGTTTTTATCACAATGTGGACACTGATATTGATGACTTGTTGAGGCCAGGTGAGCGTCCAGAGCTTCTGGTGTGGAATATTTATTTAAACATTTATTACATTGAAAATGTCTAAAATAGAAAAAAAAGAATTTACTTATTCTTTTTAAACATTTTAACCCAAAATTATCGAAGTATGTAAGGTTTGGCTTTATTTTATTGAATTAAATGCAATTTAAAAACTATTTACAATTCAAAGGCACGTAAACAAATACATAATGTAACTTAACAATATACAATTAACACAAATAACACAATAATTTGACAAATATGATTATTTCGTTAGACAGAGGACAAAGGGCTACAAGAATAAGAGACAGGTTGTAAATTGATCTAATAAATTAAGATTTCAAATTGATTTCAATCATATTTTGATTTGATTTTATATAGGTTTATGAAACTTACCGAGGGCCAGGTTTAGGACCCTGGTTGGGGTACAGACTGTGTGTATATTGATGAACACCCAAATCATACAGCGAAGGGAAATATTTATTACAAAGATGACATCGATAAGACATTTCTTCCTCATGAGTTTTCGTATGTTCTAAAAACGCATCCAGTTCTTGAAACGTACTACAACAATTCTTCATTACACATTTATATACCTGGTAAAAAACACACAAAAATTAGGTTAATTTTCTACTTTATTTTCTTCACATGATCAGAATGTATCTCTTACTAGGGCTGGACAAAATACCTGTATTACAATAAATATCACCCAGCCCTAACCCTCATGATATAATGTTCTCTCAAGGGTGTATTGCAGGGAGCAGCAAGCCCTAACTCTTTCATTTGTATGAGGGGATCCTATCCTAGCTTCACCTTCACTCCCTATTTTTCCTGACCCTAGGTTCCAAGATGGCTCAATTCATCAATCAAAACAGAAACTGATTTTGTTCTTCATTTCCATCATGGGTTTCTGAATTTCAGCTTATTGATTTTTTGTAATGCTGACAGGAACTTATTTGACTCTGTCTCTGTTTAATAAACCATCATTATTATGTCTGATACAACCAGGATACTCAGACACCCTAACATAGAAATAGAAATTTTAACTAAAAGCTGACAGATTTAGAAATAAATAGAAATGTAATATTTTACCTGTTCAACTTTGTGTTCGACCATGTGAGATTTCAGTTGAAAGTAAGATTTGAACTTGGCAGGACAGTAATGGCAGACGTAAGAATTGTCTATTACTACTTTCACTTTAGAGTTTAATGTTTTATCAGACAACTGAAATATAGAATAAATCTCTAGGAGTATTGTGGAAACTGATAGCATCAATTTGCACCATTCCAATTTTCAATCAGACATCTGTGGTTCCTTCAATTCGGCTAAAACAAAGAGTTGGACAACACCCATGACATCAATAAAGCATATTTTGTAAAAGGTGAATAGTTTTCGTATTGCAGGAACCATAGACTTCTTCTTGAAAATTGGAATGATGTAAATTGATGCTATCAATGTCTCTGATACACATAAAAACTTAAGAAAAACTCTTTACAATCAATTTAACGACAGTGGCAACAGTAATTTTTTTGAGAGGATACATCTTGCTGGCGCTGAATTGGTGAATTCTGCATGTTCAGGATTCATGGAATCAACCAGATGTACAATAAAACAAGTCAGAACTGGGTTTAGAATTTGTTCCACATTTGCCTCTTGACAGAATTCAAAATGGTGGAAAAAGGAATAGATGGGTAAATATTTTGAATCTGACAAAATATTACCTTAAATGAAGAATGAACAAAATAATTGGTCAAATCACTCATCCCTTTCCTGCAACTGATTGGACTAATTAAGAGGCACAACACCATGCAGTGTGCAATGAGGGAGATTTCACAGCATCAACAACAGAAATATTTGATAAATTTAGTTGCTAAGCCATTGTGGCTGTGAATATGGGACTAAAACATCAGTAATAACAACATACCTCAGAAGAGGGTGAGCTGTCAACTGGTTGTTGGTCGTTAATATTGACTGTCTGGGTGGGGGGTTGGTCAGGATCCCCTTCCCCCTCCCCCTCCTCATTACTTACTACATGAGATAGAGGCTGTTCTGGGAGGGAGGAGGTCATGCCTGTTGGCCAGACCTGTAATAATAACAATTATTTATAACAAACAGACAAAACACTTCAACATGATATTAAGAATATTTACTGGTATTGAAAATAAAAAAGTCAGAGGTTAGCACAAATTCTAGATCAGCTGACAGTTTAACTGGGGCCTTATTCTCCAAAATTTAACTTAAATAAAATCAAGATTTTAAGAAACACAGTAATCGGATTGGATAATACAACTAAATTTAAAATCAATTTTAGTGTTTGACCAATCAGATGACTTTACACTAAAATAATAAGATATGTTTTTTAAATAAGGTCCGAGAGTAACAAGTTTCTCAAAAATAAAACTCTTAGTGCCAAATTAAGCAATCTATTTGATTAATTGGTGTTTCTAATGAATTATCATATATTCTTAATCATATCATTATATTCTTCTTGCATATCATAATTAAGAGTTTTAACCAATCATAAATGTACATGTATGTACAGTCTGGATAAACAAAAAAAGACTTTTTGACCTTTTTTTGATCGGTCACTCATTGGAATTCTGCTGGTAATTTTCTTCTAATTTAGCTAATTAAGAATTAATTATGGACAAACTGGTATTTTTCCAAGTTATTAGAACACCTCTATTTTCTATTCATATAAGTATTAGCATTTTCATTTTCATAAATAAAAATAAGGAACACATCTTTAAGGTGTACAGACTGAAGTTTAGAAACTTTAGATTCGAGACATTTAAAATTTCACTATACATACCTTATGAGTAGACATGTGTTTCTTGACGTTAGATTTCTGAGCGAAGGCACGACCACACACAATACATTGAAACGGTTTGACGCCAGTGTGAGCTCGGATATGTTGCTGGAGATCAAAATTCTTGGAGAATAACTTCTGGCAATATTGGCATTTTAATTTCTTCTTCACCTGGACCTGAACTGGGTTCCCTGAGTCCCCCATTGAACCCTGTATTATTATCTCCCCTTCCTTCATATTTCTGTTGACATTCGTTCTACTTCTTCGACCTGCAATAAAAATACTGACTTCACGCTCTGTTAACATGACCACAGAAAACCGTCTTTGTGCCAAGCAATCTGCTAGCTAGTTGGACACAAGACATGCCTAATTACGAGTGAAATGAGTTATTTTGGAGAGGTATTCTCAATGAGATAGTAAAGGTCTAGTCCTTACCTGCCTTGGTGGTAGGTTTCAGTTGTTTCCCCAGGTCATGTGATGATATGGGGGTAATGGTTATCTGGGTGGGTAATATGCTACCTGGTTGTGTCTGTTGGTTGGGTTGTTGTTGGGGTAATATATTACCCGGTTGTGTCTGCTGGGCAGGTTGGATGGCTATATTCTGGGTGTAAGATGATGGTTGAGTGTATGTGGTACCGTTTGCTGTAAATGTTGTTGATACGTTGATTGGGTTTAATAAAGACATAGTGTTTGATCTATTTTGAAATGGAGTAGTTACCTTGAAATAAAAAAATAAAATATCTTCCCTGAGTAAACTGTTATTTTTGAAAATTAGTTAAAGTTAGTAAACTTGCCAATTATTTACACATTACAATTTAAAGGGATTGTATAGAAGTTTCTTGTGCAACATTAGAATTATCAGTCAGACAACTTTGGGTCTTGAAATTCCACTAAAAAAAGGGTTTAAGACATAGCTCTTAAAAAACCCTTACAAAATATTAGTAGCTTTTGCAATAGTGTTTAGAAAACCTTTTTACAATCCCTTAAAGGGACAATGTGCCATTTTATGGCCAATCATACCTTTGTCTCAGAAACTGGATTTTTTTAGCTAAGCCAATCAGTAATAGTGTTCACAGCTCAATGTCTAAATTTGAATCTTCAAATCCCTATGTTCCGCGTTTGAAAATTAAAAAGTTTGAGATATTTTTGAAGGAATTACGCGATTTTCGTACATTTCTAGTTCTTCTTAAGACTATGTACACATATTCAAGACCCAAATCAACCTCCCAAAATGGCACACCTGTCCATTTAAACTTATCGATGTCTGACTAGTCAATAAAAACAAGGCTATCTATATAAAACTTTGAAAAAAGTGGAGAATCAAAATGTGTAACAACTTGACCTTCCTTTTATATTGTTTCTTGTTGGTATATATTTTGTTATGTTTTATTCTCTTGCCACTACATCTGATGACGACACGTGTATATTGTGTTGAAACGTTATGTGCCAAACCTTATTAAAGAAATGTGTTATATTCCATAATATTGTCTTGTGTTTTTGTTACATGTGCTCCTCGCTTCTATATGTCGTTCAAATCTTATATCTATATGAAACCTACCATTTGTATTGTAGAGTTATGAAGACCAGGATCCAGGTTAGTAAAGGTCATCAGATCCTCTGTTAGAACTAGATTCTGTGTTGTTATATGATTGGGTGAAGTAGGTACAGCATTATAGGCACTCAGAGGCTGAAATAAAACAATATTACAAATCAATAATAAAGAGACAGATGCGCCATTGTTTTGACCAATCATACTTTAGTCTCAGAAACTAGAATTTTCTAGCTGAGCTGATCAGTAATAGTGTTCACAGGTCATCGTTAACATGTGTGTCCAGAATTATCTGCATTTGAAAGTTTAAAAGACGACTTGTCAATTTAAGATACTCTGTGATAAATCGAAAATAGATCAATAGAAATAGTGATTAAAATTTATATTTTTGAAGGAATTATATGATTTTTGTACATTTCTAGTACTTCTGAAGGCTATTTACATATATTCAAGACTAAAATTAACCCCCAAAAATGACACACCTGTCCCTTTAATGGTACCTTACAGACTGTGGAGATTTTTCACGCACCTATGTGTATAATGAAGATTGACAAGGGAAAAATTTGCAAAAAACAGTCACTCAGCTAAAATTACTTTGTAAAAGGAATCAGTATATCCTAACTAATAAATAATCCAATTACTAACGACGATCCGAACGGCAAAACGAAACCCAAAATCCAGAACAACATATTGACCAAATATTGGTAGCAGTTAATGTACTTTTCACATGATTATAATCAATCACAAGTGAGTAAGTATTTCATAATGAAAAGTGGTATCAGGTGTCTAGAAGAGTAAGCATACTGTGGAAATAACAAACTAACCTGATTGAGAGCTTGTTGTTGACTATTGGGGGGAACCGTGGTGTAGGTAGTCGTGGTGTATGATGTCTGGGGGGAGGAGAGGGGCTGTACTGGGCGTAGAGTTGACATGATGGGTGGTACGGTACATTCTGATTGTTTGTGGCCCACGAAGGAGGGTAGAGAGTTAAACTGTTTCTTACATTTACCACATTGAAATAAATCTTCTTCATCTAGGATACAAAAATAAAAACAAAATCAAAATTTTCGAACCAAAATCAAAGTGTTCATAGAAATTCTATCAGATACCTGTATGATTAATAGTGTTTCAGATATCAAATCCTCATCAGGATACCGTGTTTGGAAAACAGCACTTCAATATTTACAGAAAGCAACCATCCAGGTCACTTTTAGCCAACTTCTCAGGTCATTTTGACTAACAGTTCATCTTATGCTTATTTACTTTTGGCGTCTGTTTCAGATATTTATTTACAAGACAGCCAGTTAGGAAAAAAGGATAAATTTTTCGAAATCGACATGAGGGTAAGGTTATGAGTAAAGAAAGAAAACTGACAGGAGCAAGAAGTCGACAATGAGACAGAGATCTCAGACTTTCCTCTATTAAGTCGAATTCCTCTAGCAAGTGGTAATTTTTTTATATTTTCTGTATAAAACCTAATTCATCTATTTGCTCCCTCTCGTGAGAAGACTTCTATACAGAAAATATCTTCAAATGGAAGGTTCTCTTCGGTTTCAGGAATCAATGGCCTGCGGTCCCTTTACCGCCGGTTCATATTTTTCATTTCCTCTATTTTTTTATTTGATAAGAGAACTCACTGAACTTCTGGAATTTGATGAATCTTACCCTGAACTTCTGGAATTGTCTGAGAATCCAGTAGAGACTGGACTGCCACTGCTGTTTGGTTATCTCCCCCTCCATTGACTGTTGATACAAAATAGACATAAATTAGTAATCTTACACTATACAGTAACAGTGTTTTACTGAGGGATATAAGACTTGTGAAGTCTACCTTGATTTGATGTGGTACGACTACTGAAAAGTTATTTACCAGATCTCTATCATTCATAGTCTATGCCTGTTATTATCATAATAATCACCTATCCCCATCCCAGACAGGCCTCCCATCCTAAACCCATCAGGTTTACAAATTTACGGTGCTACCTGTAGCCTACTTAATACAGAAAATAAATCACAGAATCATCAAGATTTCGGAATAGCGATGACTGATTGCCTGGTCGGTGAGATACAGCTCAGAATGTCATCTATACACATGGTTTTGTTATGGGCGATTCCATGAATTTTACTCCACCCTTCACAAGGGAGACAGCAACGCCATGTCAAAATTCATCATAAATACCTACATGAAACAAATTCCTCCATTGCAATCTATTGAGCAGTCTTCGAAACACAGATCTTTACTTCTGCTGTGGTGCCATGACGTTTGCAAAAGGTTTTACCGCGATTTTAGAGAATAATTCTATGAATTTCGACAAAGAAATCCAAAATGGCGGAACACCCAATAACAAAAAACGTCATCAGTAATGGCGGAGGTAAGCCGGCTGATCGTGGCTTTGTCAATTACAAATTTTGTTAGAAAATAATACTTTAGACGAAAATTTACGATATTTGATTGGAATTGTCTCTAAATGTTAGAGAATTTTCTCGCTAAAGCGTCATATAGCCATATTTTATGATAAGCTCCCTCTAAACGATTTACAGTTCAAGGGAAATAACCACTGTAGTTATACATGGACTCACTCCACTAATTCATTTGCCATCTCTTCCCATGTTAAAACACGAAATTCAACCTTCTATAACTTTTTCCAGAAATCTCGTTGAAAGCTTTCCAATATGTCGAATGAAAGCCTGACCAATTCTCAATGTCTCCTAAAAAATTCATTATATGATGACCATGAAAATTTTGAGCTACTAAAATTGAAAGTAGACTACTACCGGTTATACTCATCCGCTAGAGTTTGGCACTTCACAAAACGACTATTTTTAGAATTAGCCTTCCGCCTTTAAGTCTCTCATCATCTCACCAAATCTGAAAGATAATGCAATTTCAGACATCAAATTCCAAATCTAGACCAAATTTTACCCAAAAATAGGCAGGCAAAAACCCCAAAAGGGAGAGAGAAAGAAGATTTCTAAAAATAGCCTGGACTACATTCCTATACAATCATTTGCATAAAATGTTTTAGTGAAGTGAGTCCACATTAAAGCCGGGCACCTGCCGACAGGTTAAAGGTTGGCAGTCTACAAATTTTAAAGGGATTTTTGTTGAAAACTGGACATTTAAGGGATTGTCACGAGGTTTTCTAAATTTGTATGTGTATCGGGGAAACTGATAGCATCAGGATGCACGATTCTAATTTTCAATCAGACGTCTGTGCATGGCGAAATCGAGAGTAAAAGTTGTATAGTAGTGAACTCCTCCAAGCAGAAGTGCCATCAGGTGTTTGTAAAAGAGTAGGCTAAGAATAGCGAATACTATATATAATTGTCGTCTGCTAAACTGAGAAGCGATTAGGTTCTCGGGTTCGAATCCTCATTAAAGTAAGAATTCTGTTTCCACGGCCAGTGCCTACTCTATAACAAGAAACTAGTCAACAAATGTACGTTAAAAATTGCAGGTGATTACATTCCCTTATAGATAAGAGCTCATTTAAAAAGTGCTGATTGATCTAATCGTGACCACAATCTAATCATATTACATATCATTATCTTTTCCTGTGTCATAATAACCTTGGTAACTTCTAGCAACGCTGATCAGCGTTAATCACCCATTGTACGAAAAGTGACGAGGTTCCCCTACGTTTTTTTATGAATG